TCCTCATTGCTCTAGTCCCACCAAGGACGGTATGTGGAAGTGGATTACAAAGGGAAAGGAGGTAATACCTGCAGCCAGGACAGTCGTTTAGGTATACAGAAGACAATGATGCTGTGCCCTGCCTGACAACCCTCACCGTATCCTCTTGAATGCTAGCAGGGTGGGGGGGGGGGGGCAGCATTACATTATTTTTACGTTACACTCGTGAGGTTTTTTTTTTTCCTCATGGTGATTTACCTTCAATTCCTGTCCCATAGACTCAGCAGGTGAGAGAATTCCCATGGAATGTCACCACCAAATGTATTCCATTTTGAAGACTTTCCCTTTATTCCTTTTTCAGTGACGAGCCAAATTTTGGCATTTTTCCTCCTCCTTAGTTCCAACAACAATGGTCACCAGGACAAATAGAGAGGATTATTCTCCCCAGCAATGACAAAGAGCAATACAAACCTGTCAGGTTAGGTTCACACCTGCACTACACCGCACGACACCTGGGATGTGCATCACGTGATTGCGCTGTACTGTACAATGCAGGCAGCGATTGCCACGCGGCCCCATTGCTTTCAATGGGGTGACATCCGTGCGGCAATCACAGAAAAAAGGTACGAGTACCTTTTTGTGATGCATGAAGCGCAGCTGTTTTAGACGCTATCGTGTTCGGAAGCACAGGCGGAATCGTGATGGTAAACCGCGCAATCCGCCTGGCGCGACAGGGGTGCCATTAGAAAATAATGGCACCACACCGCGATCGGTTCACACATTGGCGACTCCTGACCGCGCAGCAATCTGCGTGGAATCGTGCACGATTGCTGCACGGTGAGGTGACTCCTATGTATGAACCTAGCCTCAGGGTTGCTAACCCTCCTCCATTCTATAAGAATCTTTAAATAGAGTTTTCAGGCTCCGGATATACTTTAAACTCATGGCCTGCATCTTGCCCAGCTATTTTAGTGTTCCATCTCCACTTTAGAACAAATGCTGACTACTGCGGGGGTGGGCTGTAATAGGATGATTCGGGGGGAGTGGAGTGGTAGACTGGATATAGCAGCATGACACTGGTTCTGGCTGTCAACAGAAACGGCAACCCACAACAAAATTAGACAAACATTGGGCATAGACATCCTAGTTTGTAGGGGACATTTTCCAGTTGCCTGGTGATTGGTATTTGCCCAACCCTAGTGTGGTTGTTCCCCTATTCACAATGGTACACATCTGCACAGCTTGTGTTTTGCTGTGGCAGCATGCACTGAGGTTGCGTGAGTCTGCATTTACCATAGAGGAGACCAGCCACCTTCCTGAACATAATGGTTTGCATTTGATCCAAAGCGTGCAGAGGGTATCAAGCTGCCCTTCTAAACACAGGTATAGATGCATGCATATTAGCCCATCACACGATCAAGCAGGACTTTCATACCTACTACCTTTTAGTTTTCTCTCTGTAGCTCCCAAATACTAATTTTGAATGTGTTGAGATGTTATGTGCCATACCTAAACCTTGGTAATCGTGGCACTACGGCCATACTAGTAGTCCCAACACATGGTGTGAATACATAAATGAACATTTTTCGTATAATGATACCAGTGGAAGTAGAGCATAACCTCACGAAGGATACTTTTGGATTCTGTAACATTTACAGCTTTAGTGCAATGACATGCTTCATGTGTAATGTAGGTTAAGGTGTCCATGGACATTAGACATATGCCTTGAATTCGGGCAAGATCCTTTATACCTGTGGGACTCTGAAATATTGTAGCACATAACCTTGTAGGTTATTAATTCTAAATGGAAATCCACGCATTTCCAACAGTGATGGTGATAACTTACACATGTATGTGAATTCTGTGATTGGGAACCTTTTTAAATACAAGACTGAAGCTATGTAAAGCTAAAGTGCTTATGAGCCAGAACTGTGAATTCAGTTTATCAAGATTGGCAGGGCTTGAAAATAAACTTGTCCTCTCGCCGAGAGGACGCCGGAGCCGGCTGGTTTAACCGCTTCCCGGTCGGCCGTTGTAATTAAACGGCCGGCCAGGAGCTTCTTGGATGGCTGTTTACATACAACCGGTCTGGCGGCTGTAGAGCCGCTGGATTGCTTGTATAATGTGTGCGCCCCCTTCGCCGCTGCTGATCCCCATTGTGTCCGCGAGGCCTCGGCACCTGCAGGGGAGGCTCTGTCACTGAAGATCAGCGGGAGATCATCACATGATCGCCCTCTAATCTCCTCCTCATTCTCTGAATGCAGGAGTGATGTGTATTACATCACTTCCGTATTCAGCTGTCATTTTCCAGCTTCTGTAGCTGGAGAGAAGCTAGTGAAGCAGATCTCTGCTTCATCAGCTTCTTTGGGGGTCACTAGGTGACATTAGGGGTGTTTAGGGTGTCTCACCTGACTGGTGAGACAGCCTAAAATATTTCAAGCCCCGCCCATAGAATACTTCCAGACACATTGGGATCCCCGTAATCTAGATCACACTAATATGCAAATAGTGAGTAATGCTGATATGGTTGTGCAGTGTTCCACTTCCTCCTAACCCAGCACTTTTTTCTTATAACCAGGGAGGCTTCCCATTGAAAGTAGTGAAGGGGGATCAGAGCAGCACTATGAAAATTCAAGTCACTGCCTATTAGAGTACCCCAAATTTAAAGAATTCATGGTGCCCTTTGTAAGTAAATCCATGAGCTAAGCTGAGCCCACTGCCATGAGATGTGTTAAAGGAGAATTATGAGGCGAGTGATTTTCACTCAGCCTCATAATCTGAGCCGACCTGTGACAATGAAACTGTCATAGGTCGGCTCAGTAGATCGGGAAGTGAGCGAACACATACCGTTGCTCGCTCACTTCTCAGTCTCTCCCTGCAGAGAGCGGTGACTGTCACGGCTCCCTGCAGGGATTCCCCTCCTCCTCGCTCCGATACTCCAGCGCTGACCTGCGGAACAGACGGGAGAGGGGGCGGGCACAGCTGGCTCTGCCTCTAGGTAGGCAAAGCCAGCTGTCACGCAGCTGGATGGCTCCAGACAGCATTGTCGGGATCTGTTCCGGCTGCGGCGTCTCAGTATACCGCGAGCTGTAGCTTGCGGTATACTGAGCTTTGGGTGACGGGATGATGCTAGTTTGTGTCCTCCCGTTACCCTTAGGAGAACTATGGGGAAAAGCACTGACCCCATAGTTCTCCTTTAAGCCCACAGATTTTCTTTTTGAAATGTCCACAGATCTGCTATAAAACTATCACATTGCGGGCTCATGTCCACTCATGTAGAGCAATTTAAATTTATTGTAAAAAATGTGATTTTACATCTTCCAACTCCTTTTAATATTCCCAATTCATTTTTACATCCAATAGGCCTTGCATTATGATCACAGGTCAACATATATACATTTAATTACACTTCTATAAAAATATAAAAGGGATTTGTTGGTGCCACTGGTCCCCAGTATGGTGTATAATGAATGTTTTGCTGAGCAGCCATATTTGAGTAGCCTGGGACTGCAAACAAACTACCTCCCCATTCCTCTTTCCCTCAAACACTAAAGTCTTCTGAATTCAGACACAAATATCTGTGCTGTAGATCGGGCTAGGGAGGAAGCAGATTGCTAGAATGACCAGTACACCAGGAAGATTGCAGGGTTGTATTATCGGTAATGCAGAGAAGATAATCAATATGTACAGTGAGCAGTTCTGCTGATTTTGGCTATATTCAACACATCAAGTAATTCATCCCTGGTGATTTGTGCCAGATTTGGGTCCACAATACTACATGTGTTTAACTCCTGAAAAAGGTGGAGGTCTGTGACCCGCCGAAACGCGTTGGTGGCTCTATTAAACTTTTTTTTTTTTACTCACACTGTGTTGTTGGCACAGTCATTGGACTGGATATATGCGTATATCTTCAACCCCAGATTCCCTTTTATTTGGTACGCCTTGTTTTTGTTGAGAGCTGCCTCACTGAAGCCATTGTGCTTTATGACGTTCTGACCGATCTTTTGAATATTTCAATCCAGTGCCTCACTTCCTACGTGTTTCGGTATTTATAGTCAGGCATTCTCCACCAGGAAGATTACAGATAGGGGTTTATTTATAAAAGTTCCACGCGGCTCTCAGCACTATTGCCCCTAGATGGTGCTGACGCGTATATCAATTTCTTTACTCTATCAGCAACACTTGGGGGCGCTAGTACCATGTGAACGGCGGAATTTTTATCAATGAACCCCATCGTTTTTCCACTTGACTCTACTGTGCGTACGAAGCAGAAGATACGGCTAGACGTTTATGCAGTTGTTTTTTTTTTGCTAGGTCTGCTTTAGCAGCTCTGTATAGATACAAAGAAGATCCTGCAAATTCACAAAAACATCTTGACAGTTACCAAACTTTTGTAAGAACATATGTCAGCTCACTTCCAGGAAAGATCCTGTTCCGCTTGTCATGTGACCTCATGTCACCAGTCCTATTTTTAATATTCGTAACGGGTGTTTTCTTGTAAATGTCACATTGGGATTTATTTTTGAAGTAAATACTTTTGGAAATTGAAACTTGTATGTTTATGGGAAACAACTGATTTAACTGGGATGTTATTTTATAGAAATCGATTTTCTAAATGTCAATGTCGCCAACAAATGTTTGCCTCCACTATGTGGGTGACAGGCACACTTCACAGTGAAATGCACACCAGCCTAGGATGAAAAGTGTGAAGTGCTCTTTAGGTTTCGCCCACCTGTGGCTTTAGTGTTGAACATTTTAGATCTAAACATTACAGCTGTTACTTGTCCGCAGTCCTTTACTGACACCTGGCAGGAAGTTTTTTTTACTTGTTCATAGGATATAAGAACAATTAGGTTTGTTTTTTTCTAACTCCCTGTCACTGATGCACAGAATAGCTGTAGAGGTGGAAGCAGAATGGACCACAAAATGTTATTGCAGGTCTTGTATGCTTTGATTTCCTCCTATTGATACATTGAGTATATGCAGCTCATGCACTGATGAATCTCCTGTTGTCTCCACAGTAATAATGAAGTTCCGCACTGATAAGGGGAGGGACCCTCAGCCCAGCACATTTCAGGAAGACTGTGATCTCTTGCTGCAGATTCGCAATGATCTGCTGGATTCCATGAGTCTTAACCCCGATCTGCTGGAAGAAGACTTTGCAAGGTGATTTTGATGATTTTTTTTTTATTCCCCCCCCCCCCCTTTTTTTTTATTGTTGTGCAAAATGTTTGCATATATCTCAATTCGCAAAGCTTTACACATGGATAAGAATCTTTACTTTGTCCTTTTACGCTCATCCAAAAGAAAAATGGGTGCTACGGTAGTCTACGGATGGCCACCGTCTCAGTGATTCGAAAGAATATGGACACAGGCACTCCAACGACAGAATACGTCTATTTATTCAATAGACGTATTCGTATATACGTCCATATTCTTTCGCACCACGGTTTCTGTCAGACCGCGTGCATTCGCATCCCCTGCGTCTTTCCTTGCCTCCCTACTGAAGATCTCTACTGCGCATGCGCCCATTCCATCTTCCTGCTCGGCCACTCGGGAATCTTCAGACGGGAGCAAGTGGCAGTGACGGAGGTAAGTAATTACCTTTTGTGGTAACTTTATATTTTGTTTTTGCATATATCTGCTGCTTGCTAGCAGTAGATATATGCAAAAAAAACCCCCAGAGTTTAATTATACTTTAAGACCTCATTCACCTGGCCCTTGTCTGTCTGTTTTAATTAAACACAGGAAAAATTGATCTGGGGAGTTTACATTTGTTTATACTTTACAGATTAGTTTCTCCTGCATTTAAATGTGCATGTGTTTACACGCATGTAGACATGTTCGGAGTATCTGCCACTGCGCACACACAATTCTATTTTTTCTAAATGCAGCTAAACTGAATACACCTGGATGCAAGTCAATGCACAGTGTGCATTATACGTTTTATATGCATTTAGAAACACCCTATAAGGGCATATACAGTGTGTAAAATAATTATTTGATCCCCTGCAGATTTTGTAAGTTTGCCCACAATGAAATGAAAGGTCTATAATTTTGATCATAGGTGTATTTTAAATTATAGAGACAGAATATCAACTAAAAATTCATGATACAAATGTTATAAATTGAGTTGCAGTTCAGTGAGTAAAATAAGTATTTGATCCCCAAGCAAAACATGACTCAGTACTTGGTGGAGAAACCCTTGTTGGCAAGCACAGAGGTAAGACGTTTCTTGTGGTTGGTTACCAGGTTTGCACACATCTCAGCAGGGATTTCGGTCCACTCTTCTTTACAGATCTTCTTTAATTCCTTAAAGTTTCTTGGCTGCCGCTTGGCAACTCGAAGTTTCAGTTCCCTCCATACATTTTCTATAGGATTAAGGTCTGGAGACTGGCTAGGCCACTCCATGACCTTAATGTGCTCCTTCTTGAGCCACTGCTTTGTTGCCTTGGTGGCATGTTTTGGGTCATTGTCATGCTGAAAGAACCATCCACAACCCATCTTCAGTGTTCTGGCTGAGGCAAGGAGGTTCTCATCCAAGATTTAACAATGCATGGCCCAGTCCATTGGCCCCTCAATGCAGCAAAGTCGGCCTGTACTTTCAGCAGAGAAACAGTCCCAAAGCATAATGTTTAAACCTCCGTGCTTGACTGTAGGGATGATGTTCTTAGGGTCATAGTCAAAATTTTTCTTCCTCCAAACACGGCGAGTCGAGTTAATTCGAAAGAGCTCATTTTTGGTCTTATCTGGCCGCAGAACTTTCTCCCAATCTTTCTCGGAATGATTTTAGATGTTCATTGGCAATCTTTAGATGGGCCTATACATGTGTCTTCTTGAGGAAGGGGACCTTGCGGGTGCTGCAGGATCTCAATCCATGGCGGTGTATTGTGTTACCAATGGTTTGCTTGGTGACTGTGGTCCCAACTGCCTTGAGATTATTCACAAGCTCCTCCCGTGTAGTTCTGGGCTGATCCCTCCCTTTTCTCATGATCATCCTTACCCCATGAGGCGAAATCTTGCATGGAGCTCCATACCGATGGCGATTGATGGTTATTTTATATGCCTTCCATTTGCTAATAATCACTCCAACATTTGTTTCCTTCTCACCTTGCTTCTTGCTGATAGTCTTGTAGCACATATAGCAAGTCTGTGGGGGGAGCCAGAATTATTGTTGGTTGGTAGGGGATCAAATACTTATCTTACGCACTGAACTGCAACTCAATTTATAACATTTGTATCATGTGTTTTTTCTGCATTTTTTGTTGATAATTCTGTCTCTATCATTTAAAATACACATATGATAAAAATTATAGACATGGGCAAACTTACAAAATCTGCAGGGGGTCAAATCACTATTTTCCTCACTGTATAGGTGTGTGTGTATATGCGAGTATATATGTGTATATGTATGTATATATATCACACACACTATTCTAGAAACCAACAGATTTCTGTCCAAACATGGCTGAGCCATATATAAGCCATATTAAGTTGGCCTGCTAGCAGCCATGGTGTCTAGCAAAATTCTGATGAGTGACCCTTTACTCCATCAGGGAAAGAAAGAAACATATTTAAGGACCCCTCTTCATTTGGCTGCATAGCATGAATGGCCAGGTTTAATATAGTGTCCTTTGTTTTTCCATAGCACAGCTGTGTTCATTGCTGTACCACAACGTCATCACTTACCATTGTAGAATACCTATAATTGTGCCCGGCCATGCATGTGTAATCTCCATTAGAATAAATAGAAAAACTGATCGTCGCCCACTGCAGAAACAGGATGCAACAGTGATTGTACAGGGATAATGTTGATTCTATGACTCTTAGGTGGCAGAGATGTTCAGTGTGAAAGCGCCAAGGTGGTTTATATTAAGAAGGTTAACACCTTTTTGGAGCTAACCTATATAGATAATAAATCTCTAAAACTTTGCTACTCCACCAACCACAAAGCAGAGTTCTGTGGTTTACAACCAGCTTCCTCAGACTCTTTAACCCCTTCGTGACGGGAAACGTACAGTGTACGTCTTGTCACTTTGTGCCTATATGACTGGCCACGTACACTGTACGTGACGAGTTATACCAGGCTTTGTAATGCCGGTATTTGCTGATTCTCAGCATTTAACATCATTCATTAATGTCTCAGTATTGAGGCATTAATTAATGAAATAATTAAGCTTTTTGTAAAAGCTTCTTCCTTTCATTAATGAAAGAATGAAGCCGTTACATGCAAATAGAGGACCGCAATTTCCCGTATTTGACAGCTCAAAATAGCAGAGAGGCAGCAGTGACTCACCTCACCTCTCTGCTATTTGTTTTGACAGCTCGAGAGCCCGATGTTTAGATACATTTCACTGAAAGGATACAATGTATCTCTTTTAGTGAAATGTATCATTTCTGATCGTCTAGGCACGATCAAAGAGCTTTTAGTGAGATCTGAATCTGACTAAAGTCAGGATCAGTCTCTAAGGTTATTATTAGCTGTTCCTAAGTTTGGATCAGCCTAATAGCCAAAAATAAAATAAAAAAGTTAATTTATCAAGCTGTCATAGTGATTGCTTGATATAAACTGACAAGAAAAAAAAAAGTTTTTTTATTTTATTTTTATTTTTTTTACAAAGTGTAAAAAAATTAAAATAAAGTGTAAAACAAAATTAGGAAAATATAAATTATATATAAATATATTTTTTATACTATAATTAATATAAAAAAATTCTAAAAAAAAAAATAATAATCAAAACTTGTGAAAAAAGTGTTTTCTTCTAGTTTTTTTCCTAATTTTTTTATTTTATTCAAACTAAGTGAGGGGTTAGGTACACATATGTGATATAATTATATAGCCCTATCTGTCCTCTAAAAAACAATATATAATATGTGTGGGTACATTTAGTAAGAAAGTATATTACTGCTGTGGAAGAATCACACAGCAAAAATGTAAAAAATGTGTCAGTCATTTATGAACAGAACCTGAAAACTAGCTGTCATGAAGGGGTTAATATGCTGATTGGTTAGAATGATGCTTGTATTTGTCTCTATGATGTACCTTATGTGCCATGTGTGGGTTTGGGGAGATGGCAGAGTTCATATTCGGGGAATTAAACAGGATCTGAAGACGAGCTCCTCTTCACTATTCCAAGTCTATTTAAATGTAGCTTTGTCTTTCCTGAGTGAATATACATTGTAATGGCATCGGAGAACAATGACATTTCTTAGTCTTTTGCTACAACCAGAAAGAAAAAAGTAGAGGTGCAGTATAAATGTTATGTGACTGTTGGTCACTGACCTGAAAGGATTGGTCCAGTTTCAGCAGAATAATAAAGTTGTTTAATGTGCTTGAAACGCATATCTTTGGAATTCCAGCTGTGTGGTCATCTGGTGGCAGCCATTGTTTCTTGAAGTCATGAAGCCCTTTTAGCTCTGGAGAAGGTCCACGGAACCCTGATCTTTAAAAGTGTCTTTGAAGACACACCTCCACAACCTGTTATCACTGCCTTCATCCTCCAACCAGGAAAACACCCTTCACTTTGATATTTAAAATAAAAACTGTGTCAAACTGATATGAAGCAAGGCACTTGGTGATTTATACTTTGTTTACTTCTATTTCAGTTATTGTTTTTCGGAGATGGCACCTGTCTGTGCAGTGGTGGGTGGTGTTTTGGGTCAAGAAATTGTGAAAGTAAGTATGACATGCAGGAGGCACATGCAATTTGTATTCTTGAGGTTTTTTTTTTTTTACACCCTGACAATATCTCTTTCTTTTTCTCTGCCCAGGCGCTGTCCCAACGAGATCCTCCACATAATAACTTCTTTTTCTTTAACGGGCTTAAGAGTAATGGCATTGTTGATTGCTTAGGTGCCAAATGATGTGAAGGAGGCCCACTGGCTGTCTTGGAGCGTGTAACGGGATATTTGCAAACATTGGACCAATATAATGGCTCTTTTTAGATACTTTACCTCACTGTTAAAGGACAGCTCCACTCAAAGGTGATATCCGTTTTGATGGGCACTGGTTGGTTGAATTACATGGCATCTTCATTTTTTTCAGAGATGGCCTTGTTAAGATTCCCCTGTACTGAATTATGTTTTTCGCCCCCACCCATCCACCATGTCATATTGACGGTGCCCTGCTCACAGCTGACCTCCCGAGTTTTTTATTCAATACAACAGAGGATTCATGAGGGCAGTGTAACTCCACCATTTGGCTTTGCACTGGCTGATGGGTAACTGGGAATTCTGAGGGGATATCTTACTACTGGAGTCTTAGAGATGTAGAAGAAGTCGATATATCTATCATTCAGCTTGTGCAATCTGATATCTCTTTTGGGTGGATTTGTCTTTTAATGCAGATTTGTAAAGATGTTAAGCAAAATAAATCAGGCTTGTTGAAGTGGGTATTTCAACTTTTCTGAGAAATGTAACACTGGGAAGCCAAACCATGAATAAACAAGCTTGTTGCGTTAGTCTGTGCATGCTTGTAAAAACGTCACTATATACAATGGGTACATCAAAAGTTTTTGTTATGGGGTATCTACTGAGATCCTCCATTTGCAATAGAAAATTCGTATAGGCACAACATTCAATTGTGTTATCGTTTTACCACATGGCAACAAGCACAATTTGGACAAGCACAGAGTATGTGGCTGGGCAATTGAGACCACTTAAAGTAGTATTAACCTGTCAAACTTTTTTTCAATAATGAATCCAGATAAAACAAATATACATTGCCCAGAAAAGTTTTCCTTTAAATCTGTGCCTCGCTCAGCGCCACTTCCCTGAACTTCCTGTTCAATACAAGATCACTAGTGACTCCACAGTCTCCAGCAGCTGTCCATCTACTAGCTTAAAGGGAAGGGGGAGAAGCGAGGATCAGAGAGCAGAGGATTTGCTTACTCTGCTGTGCCTTTGGTGTGTGGAGACACACAACTTACTAGCACACACAAGGTTGGCTCTATAGGACCCTGCAAACAGGGTATCGGGTCCAGTGCTCAGGGGATCCGCTGATTCTGCAGTAAATTAAACTTTTAAACGTCAAGGAGCAGCATCCATTGTAAGTGATTTCATCAGCGTTTGGACTGGCTTAAAAACCCTTTGACTTAAATATCACTTTAAGAAGTGTTTGCTGGTCTGCCTTACAATATCAGATTTCCCAGAAAGGAAGTTATGCTTAAAACACCTACTTGGTAGGTTTCCCAGCCCTCTTTGTATGATGTGCTGTGTTGGTTATCCCGTGCTGGGTATCCAGACGGTACATTTTTTGTGGGATTTCTTCAAAATAGTCAAATTGTGCCTTGGCTGTTTTATTTCAGCTGCCTGACTGATTCTTGCGTTTCTATAGAATCTTTACTCTTTAAGGCATTTTACATGAATTGTGAAGGAACCCATCCAGGTTGATTTTGATGTAGCTCACAGAAAGCTTTCTATCACACATCAGGGCTAATGGATCAGGTGTGGACTAGTTCCATATTTTTCTATAGTGCAAAGTGTTAAAAACACAGCCTAGGGTGCACACATGCCCATAGGAAGACCACTTTGGTAAACCTCCTTTTACACATTTGTCTGTTTTCAAGAGAATCAGGTGAATCCCATTTGATGTTATAGGCCCCATGCCATGTGTAAGACTTGGTTACTTGGGGGGGGGATTTGGACTTGTGAGATCCAGCTATATTGCTGAACATTCTAAAGTTTTTAGTCTTGCCTTATGCGATTCATCCATTAAAGGTTAACTCCACCCAAACCTGACACAGTTAAATCACCTGCCAGCTTCTTCTGTCTCAGGGATACCCAGTATTGGCTTTAGTGCCTTCCAACAGGTGCCACTTTCTTGCAGTTGAATTCTCCAGCTCTTTTTTTTTTTCGTTTTCATTATTGTATTCATTATAAATAATCCACTTTGGGAGTGTGACTTCATCAGCTGTTACAACGCCAACTGTTGCTGTGAAATGCGAATTTTGATTTTGAAGCTGTCATCACTGGTTCTCTCAACAGATATAAGAAGGTGGCATTTGATCTAGATATATGTCTGTTCTGGGTGGAGTTTGCCTTTAATGAATGTTTCAAAGAAATGTATCTTTCCTTTAGCAAAGAGCTCTTGTATCTTCAGCTTTGATAACAGCAGGAATCTGAATTCTTTTTCAGGGGGTTGTTGCATTCAAGGGGCAAAACCATATTTAAATACCTGTGCTGTTTGTCATTCAGCATTGTACCACAAGCCTGTTAAAGAATGGTTACACGCGATCTGCAATATTTTGGTCTGGTGGTTTTGTAACGGCATGTTAGAAGTATTTTTTTTTGTTGTTGTTTGGAAATATTTTTTTAATTTTCAATAAATACTTGTTTACGACGTGTTGGGTTTGATCATTGACTAAATCGTGACTATAGATACTGTAGATATCACAGTGAAAGTGGAGGAAACAAATGTTCACTTCTTGAATGAAAATGGGCTCTTTATTCCAGCACAGTGAAAACAAAGTATATACAAGGCCACAAAATGAAGTCTTATACCACAAAAACAAAACTCTGTTCACTGAACCATACAGGGTCCATGGTCTACATTAGTCCTTTGATCCAGGTAGGTGGGGAAAAGCAGCAGTTTTTGAGCATTGATTGCCTCAATACAGCAATTTACAGCTAGGTCTGGCTCTGTGAACTGAGACACACACAGACTGAGTAGCCCAGCTTGGTTAAGGTAAGCCCAATCAACAGACCTGTCAAGGAAAAATCTAAATCAAACCACCCATGAGGATTCCCAGAGATGCTAGCCCCCAGTACAAGATTTTTAAATAACAAGTATAGACAAAGACTCTACCATAAGGACTAGCTGGCCAAATAATGAATATTTAAGAAACCATGGCACCTCATATGTTCATTAATATAATTCCAGACAACATCATGGATTATGCACTCGCCATACTACAATACATACAGAGCCAACAAGATCAATACAGATTTGGAAGTTAACCAGTATAAGCTGTACAACTGTTAATGCAGATGGCCAAGAAATGTAAAGCCTTTCACCTAATGCTATGAAGTGACTAATAATTGTGTAGAAGGAATTTTGTTGCTGAGGTACAAAATTATTTGCAAATAGCTATATTGTATGTTTTACTTGGCTTATTAAAGGCTGAAGACTTTCTTCTCTTGCCCCATAGACAGCACACTAGACAGCATAGCCAGATTTAAGTACACTGGGTCAGAACACCCTCAACCAGCAATAAAAGAGCAGTAACATACTGATGAGGTCATCCATGACTCTGCATTCTCCTCAGGACGTGTATGCAACAGAGCCTGACTGGCCTCTAGGAATCCGCTTCCTGCGGTACAGGGGATTACCAGATGCTAATATTAAGGTACTTCTGCATTTAAAACAAATATATCTATATTTTAAACATTTTATCGTGTATGTATAGCCAGTGTTTTTAAATTTTTAGACAGAGTAGGGTAGGATTAGAATACATGTGAAGTATTTATTAATGCTCTGTGTCCCTGGTAGTGAAGCGTAATCTCCCTAGTGGGATAAACAGCAAAACATTCATGAATTTGAACCTTACCCTACTCTATCCCAAAAAACTACTTGGTTTTGGATATGCATATCAATTAAGGCAAATAAAGTGTTTTTTTGTTTGTTTTTTATACCTGCGCTCTTGGATAGGTATTTCAAATTTCAACCTTCAAGGAAACTTGTGATAGAAATCCATGGGTTGCCATTGCTGACCTTGTTAAGTAAAGATTTGGTTTCTGGTTGACTTCCTGATCCTCTGACATAAATGAGTCACCAGCCTTCAACAGGTGTGCATAGATATTGACCACTTCCTGGTTCATCCTACATGAACAACATCTGAAGTCATTGCTACCTTCCATCCCTACCCTGTGTGATTATCACCATCCAATAGGTAGTAGTAGTATCCAGTAATAATCCACATCTCCAAAGTGGCCCCATGATGAGACGCCCACCATTGTTCTCATTATGACTATGCTGTTTTGTGCACTACTGCCAGCTGAGACTAGAGGCAATCTATTCCACAAATCCTGAGCCATGGACATTGAGAATATGTATACCTCTAATGGTACATGTCTCAGTCTTTGGGAAACGCCATGGTGCACTTGTAGAGACACAATACACTTCATTCGTCCGTGAGGACAAAAGAAAAGCAGATGGGAATTGTTTGAAATCTCTCCACCATGTCTAATGTAGTCAGGCTATGTGAGGTTAAACCATCCTCATGTCTTGCATTGTGTGACTCAGTGTTCTTTCATAAGACAGGTTCATTCTGTTCCCCCATTTAACTGGAAAGATGTAGGCGGGCTGTCTGCAGCGGGAACATTATGCCTGTCGCCTGGTAATTTTCATATTGTCTTGCAGTGTTTTAGGTGGCGCACACCACTGATGGCGCACTTAGAGGTCAGCTTTTGCCGCGTGCTTTCTTTACTGCCCCATTATATTTTAGCCCCTTTACGTGGACCAGAGTCCATGGGGGAACCTAGAATTTGACCCAAAGCACTGGACATCTTCTAACTTATGTGTAGAGTATCTCTACATACATTGAGCAAACCTGCATTTATCTATGTCAAAGTAGTAAAATATCTGCTATACTCTGTTGAAGGATAATTTCACATGTTTCAGGCTGCGTCGCCTATTTATTGTTTTGTTACTTTTGTCATATCTTTTACAAATCCCAGGAGCTCCGTGTGCTCCTTACAAATGACAGCTGCCTCCTAACTTTTGAGTCTTGGAGCTCAAAAGTATCTGTACATGTACTCGTACTTGTACCGAGTACTGTACTTGGTATCTGTGCAACCCTACTTCAAAGCCATTCCTCTATCTGTGCAGAAAATGTCACTTAAATGTCATACTGAACTAATTATAGTATATCTAAAGCTAAACTGTTTTTTTTGCTTTGGATTGGGGGATAAAACTACTGTCGGGCCGAGCACCATAGTCTGTCAGGATCATAGATATGTCCTCCAGTGGCGTTCATGCCGGCAGGAACAAGTTCAGTCCCTTATTAACATGAGTGCTGATACTAAAACTACTTGAAACCTACTAAAACTACTGTCGGGTCAAGCACCATAGTCTGTCAACACCATAGATA